TTTTGGATAATCAAGTATTTTCTGTTGTGATAAAAAATTCCGATTTTTTCAGTTCTTTTCTTGGATTGTTTTATCACTCAACAAGTTTTAATTTGAGTAAAACTTTGTGGCAAGTTGTTTATCAATCTATTCTTCATCAAACTGGATTTGTTACTAAAATGATTAAAAGTAATCAGTTCAGAATATTGATCGAATTGATTACAACAAATACTCAAAAATCTGTTGTGATTTGTGGACTTGAAACATTCAAAAAAATTTTCAATATGGCAAATCAAGAAAAACAAAAAATCAAATCAAAACAAAAATTATCAAGACAAAAACATTCACTAAAAAGTATTGAAAAGGATATTAAGATTATTGTTGATTATTTGATTGAAAAATCATTGTTTGTGAGTTTTCATATTGTTTTGAAATCATGTTTTGATTTAAAAGATCGAAGATTTATTGTAAATTTTCAAAAATCAAAAAAGAAAATTTTTAATACTTAATTTTTAATATTTTTAATATTTTTAATTTTTAAAAAGAATATTGCTTCAATTTATCATCTTATTGCAACAAATTCACTTTGTGGGAAATTATTAGTTCTTGTTAATTCAACAGAACATTATAAAGAATTGTTTGTTCCAGTTGTTTCACTTTTTAAAAAAGGTTATGATTTAAAATTTAATAAGAAAACAAAAAGATATTTTTTTTTAAAATAAATTGAAAAATTTTTTTTAATAGAAATGAATATTTTTTTTTTTTTTGTTTTTGTTTTTGTTTTTGTTGATCCAAATTATTTTTCATCCAAATTCTTTTCCACTTTTTTTTTTTTTTAGTTAAAATGAAAAAAAAAATAATAAAATTTAGAAGAAGATAAATTTCTAATTTTGATTTTGATTTTGATTTTCATTTAAAGATCTTTTAGTACCCAAATTATTTTGAAGAGGAAAATGTTGATTTGATTTATCAGAAGAATTATCGAATTGAATATTATAAGGAAAGAAATAAAGCGAACCAATTTGAGATAAACCAACAAAAAAAATGAAATTATTTAAATTGTTTTCATCATTTATATTATTCTCTTTAACATCAAATCCAATCCAATTTGAATCTGAAAGTAAATTTAATTCTTTATATTCATTCATTCTCATCATTTCATTTCTCTTCTTTTTTGACCATAATCCAATAATCAATTCTTGGTCATTTCCACCAACAAAACAAATATCTTGATGATTTTTAGGAATTTTAAAATGAGAAATTTCATGTTTAGTTGCATTTAACCAAGATTCCAAAAAAGTATAATTTTGGTTATTATAAAAATAAATAGAGCGATTAGCTCCACCTGCAGCAATAAAATGTTCTCCAACTTCAAGTGAATAAAGAAGTTCATTACTTGGAGAGATGATTCTCTTAACGCATTCTTGTTGTTCTGGTAACTCAAAATCATATACTACAATTTGGTTTAATTCTGTTGTTATCACTTGTTTTTTCTTGTTTTCTAAAAACATTAATTTAATCTGCATTGGAAATTGTCCTGTTTGAATTCTTCTTATTAATTTGCTTGTTTCAAAATCATATATATCAATAACTTTTCCAAACATATTTGCTGTTGCAATTAATATATTTTCTTCAAATAATTTCATATCAATTCCTCCCCATCCAAATGATGTCCCAATGGGAAGTTTATTATGGAAAATTTTGTACTCAATTGGTTCTCCTTCTTTTCATGATTGCAATGATAAAAAATATATTCAAGAAATTCAAGTAAAATGAATAATCAAAAAAATCAGTTTTTTTTTTTTTGATTTTTTGATTTTTTACCAGAATTAAGTAAACGAATGATTAATCTATTAGATTTGTCAATACTTGCTAAATATTCTTTCTGGGTTTTTTGTTCTTGATAAAGAAATATTTCTTGAATTTCTATTGAATGTTTAAATTCATTTTTATCAATTTCTTCAAAATTTTTTAATTTTAATTCATTTTTATTTGAAATTTCTAAAAATGTTTCTATTGGTTCAATAATAACACAAAATATTTGATTTAAATTTGAAATGAAAATTTGTGTGTTTGAACGAATTGCAACATGATTTCCAATATAATTAGATGATGTAATTTTAATTGGAAGAGATAAATAAGGAAAATTATTCATTTCAAAAAAAAAATGAAAAAGAAAAAATTCAAAAAAATTATTTTTCATTTTTTTCTTTTTAAAAATGTCTGAAAAAGTAATTTATTTATTTAAATTTTATTATTATTTTTAATTAAGTAATTTATTATTTTTTTTTATTCAGAAATTATTATCTAAAAGAGCAATTCGAGAAATTCTTGCTAGAATTGAACCATTTCAATCCATAGAACCAGATGCACAAAAAGTTATTTTACAATTACAAACAAATTTTTATGAAATTTATTAACAACTTTTTATGAAATTTATTAAGAAATTTATTAACAACTTTATAATGAAATTTTTAAAGAAAATTATTAACAACTTTTTAAACAACTTTATAAAGAAATTTATTAACAACTTTTTATGAAATTTATTATTAAATTTATTAACAACTTTATAAACAAATTTATAAACAAAATTATAAACAACTTTATAAACAACTTTATAAAGAAAATTATAAACAAATTTATAATTAAATTTATAATTAAATTTATAAAGAAATTTATAAACAACTTTTTAAACAAATTTATAAACAACTTTATAAACAACTTTATAAACAACTTTTTAAACAAAATTATAAACAAATTTATAAACAAATTTATAATTAAATTTATAAAGAAATTTATAAACAACTTTTTAAACAAATTTATAAACAACTTTATAAACAACTTTATAAACAACTTTTTAAACAAAATTATAAACAAATTTATAAACAAATTTATAAACAAATTTATAAACAAATTTATAATTAAATTTATAATTAAATTTATAAACAAATTTATAAACAAATTTATAAACAAATTTATAAACAAATTTATAAACAAATTTATAAACAAATTTATAATTAAATTTATAAACAAATTTATAATTAAATTTATAATTAAATTTATAATTAAATTTATAATTAAATTTATAATTAAATTTATAATCAAATTTATAATCAAATTTATAATTAAATTTATAATTAAATTTATAAACAACTTTTTAAACAAATTTATAAACAAATTTATAAACAAATTTATAAACAAATTTATAAACAAATTTATAAACAAATTTATAATTAAATTTATAAACAAATTTATAATCAAATTTATAATTAAATTTATAATCAAATTTATAATCAAATTTATAATTAAATTTATAAACAAATTTATAATCAAATTTATAAACAAATTTATAATCAAATTTATAATTAAATTTATAAACAAATTTATAATCAAATTTATAAACAAATTTATAAACAAATTTATAATCAAATTTATAATTAAATTTTTAAACAAATTTATAAACAAATTTATAATTAAATTTATAAACAAATTTATAATTAAATTTATAAACAAATTTATAATTAAATTTATAAACAAATTTATAAACAAATTTATAAACAAATTTATAAACAAATTTATAAACAAATTTATAATTAAATTTATAAACAAATTTATAAACAAATTTATAAACAAATTTATAAACAAATTTATAAACAAATTTATAAACAAATTTATAAACAAATTTATTATTAAATTTATTAACAAATTTATAATTAAATTTATAATTAAATTTATAATTAAATTTATAATTAAATTTATAAACAAAATTATAAACAAATTTATAATTAAATTTATAATTAAATTTATAAACAAATTTATTAACAACTTTATAAACAAATTTATAAACAAATTTATAATCAAATTTATAATTAAATTTATAATTAAATTTATAATTAAATTTATAATTTGTAAAAAAAAGATTTTAGAAGAATTAGCTGAAGAATTTGTTCATCAAATTGTTAATTCTGCTTGTGAATTTGCTAAACATAGAGAATCAAAATATTTAAATGTTCAAGATATTTCTTTAAGTTTAGGTAATTAAAATTTATATTGAATTTGAATTTAAATTTGAATTTGAATTTGAATTTTATTTTGAGAATAGAAGAACTTTGGCCTCTTTCTCATATTCCAGGTATTCAAAATCAACCATCTCAAAATCAACAACCAACTGAAGCTCATTTCAAAAGACAAAATGAAGTTGAAGAATCAAAATTAGAACAAAGTGTTCATACAAGAAAATAACCAAATTTATTTTTATTCTTTTATAAAATTTAAAAAAAAAAAATAAAAATAAAAAGTGGAACAAAATTTTTTTTTTTGCTTTTTTTTTAAAAAAGTTAATTTTTTAAATGATTTTCTTTTATTAAATCAAGTAAATATTGATTTGTTTTTTCTAAGAAATGACCATAATTATTAATAATCTTGCATTGAAGTGAAGATAAACCATCATTTCCAGATAAATAATCAATATGTTCTTTTGGAACAATCTTATCATCTTCAGACCAAATAGCAAAAAAAGGAATTTTTAAATCCAAAATTAATTGATCAATTTTTTGAAGATTGATTTTCGGTGAATAAAAAGATGTCGCGCGTTCTCGAGTTAATGAAGGGGAAGCAACAAGATAAATACTGAGTATTCTTTTTCTTATTTCTTCATCTTCAAGTTTTTCTAAGTATCGAAGTATTGTAAATCCTCCTAAAGAATGACCAATTAAAATCAATTGATTTTTCTCATTTGTTGATTCAATTGCTTTTTCAAGTGTTTTTATCCATTCTTTTAATTCTGGATCTTTTGGATTAGGAAAATCTGGTGTTATTGCTTGAAATTCTTCTGTTGAATCTAATTCTTTTTTAAGCCAAGAATACCATAAATTTGTTGAATTGCATCCAAAACCATGAACAATTATAACATCAATCATTTTCTTTTTTATCAAACAAAAGAAAAAAAAAATGAAAAAAAAATTCCAACAATAAAAAATCAATAAAAAATCAATAAAAAATAAATTTAAATTATAAATGTGTGTTAGTGACGGGATTTGAACCCATGACCTATCGATCTGCAGTCGATTGCTCTCCCTCTGAGCTACACTAACTAAATTAAAAATTTAAATTTAATTTTTTCCAATTTTTTTATTTTTTCAAATCATTTTTATTTATATTTAATTATTTTCCAAAAATAAAAAGTGGAATAAAAATATATTTAATTAATTAATAATTATTTAACTTAATTTAATATAATATTTATATTTAATTCTTTTCCAAAAATAAAAAGTGGAATAAAAATATATTTAATAAATTAATGTTTATTTTTTCAAATCATTTTTATTTATATTAATTATTTTCCAAAAATAAAAAGTGGAATAAAAATATATTTAATTAATATTTATTTAACTTAATTTAATATAATATTTATATTAATTCTTTGATAAATAAAAAGTGGAATAAAAATATATTTAATTAATTAATAATTATTTAACTTAATTTAATATAATATTTATATTTAATTCTTTTCCAAAAATAAAAAGTGGAATAAAAATATATTTAATTAATTAATATTTATTTAATTTAATTTAATATAATATTTATATTAATTCTTTTATAAATAAAAAGTGGAATAAAAATATATTTATTTAATTAATATTTATTTAACTTAATCTAATAAATATTTATATTTAATTCTTAGATAAAAATAAAAAGTGGAATAAAAATTGCTTTTTCATTTTTCATTTTTTATTTTTCATTTTTTATTTTTCATTTTTCATTTTTTATTTTTTATTTGTAATGGAAGAAATTTCAAAAAATCCCTTTTTTATTGATTTAAAAAAGAAATTCAGCACTTTATATGAAAAAGCATCAGGAAATCAATGGTTAGTTTGCGTTCCTTCTAAATCCTCATTTACTAAAAGTCAAATTAATCAAGAATTTGCTGGTAAAATATTTATTTTTTTTCTTATTTTTTTTTTCTAAAATTATAAATTCACAAGTAATATTTAATAAATATTCGGTCGTAAAATTAACATTGAAATAAAAAAGAGATGCATGTTTTAAAACCTTCAATTAGCTTTAAAGACGTTTTTGATACAAACACAAACCCACCAAAGAGTATTCAAATCGACGGGACAACAATCAAAACACGAGAAGGTAAATACATATCACACACAAACTATTGGACTCAACACATCATTATCTCATCGTTATTAAATTAATATTCTTTTCAAAACACACTTGAATATCCCAAAAAAAAAAAACCAAAGGATTTTCAAAAAAAAGAAACATTTCAATTATTACAAAAGAAATTTTTTTTAATGAAAATTTCCAGCCTTTTAATGCAGTTTTGATTGAGACACCATTGGTCGAACCTGTTGAGAAAGAAGTAAAGGAAAAACCGCAAAAGGAACTTCGGCAAAAACCAGTAGTTGAAAAACAACGGCAACAAACTCAAACGAATCAAAAGAAAAAACCAAAAGAAAAAATCCAAATTGTTCCAGAACCTGAGTTCAATATTTATAATACTCAAGAAGTGATTTCTCTTTCTGGAGAGATTATCACTGTTTCTTCTATATTTCCTCCACACAAAACACTTGAAGAAATTTCAAAATTTCTCACAAAATTCCATGAAAATTTTCAAGTATTTCCAAAAATTAAAGAAAAATTAAAAGAATTCAAACAGTCATATTTTTTTGTGAAGAAATATGAAGAAGATGCAGCTAATCGGATTGAGAAATTATGTGAAGATACTTTCTCAATTTTTATTAATGTTAATCCTAAGTTTTCTGTTTTAGCAAATCAAAAGTATAACAAAATTGAATTGTTAAGTATTATGAAAATGTATGTTCTTGGCACTTTGAATATTTATAAAAAAATGAGGGAATTATATTCTGAAGAGGATGATAATTGTTATCAACAAATCAAAAAGGTGAAAGGCAATCCACCAGCTGCATTTGGTAAGTTTTTTTAATTTTAATTTTTATCCGATTTTAATTTTTAATTTTTAATTTTAATTTTTATTTTAATTTTAATTTTAATTTTTATCCGATTTTAATTTTAATTTTTATTTTTATTTTAATTTAAATTTAATTTTATATTGAATTTTAATTTTAATTTTAAATTGAATTTTAATTTTAATTTTAATTTTAATTTTTATCCGATTTTAATTTTAATTTTTAATTTTAATTTTAATTTTAATTTTAATTTTAATTTTAATTTTAATTTTAATTTTAATTTTAATTTTAAATTTAAATTTATATTGAATTTTAATTTTATTTTTAATTTTAATTTTAATTTTAATTTTTTATCCGATTTTAATTATATTTAATTTTATTTTTAAATTGAATTTTAATTTTTAATTTTATATTGAATTTTATATTTAATTTTAATTGGTTTGCTCACAGGAATATCAAAAGAATTTGCTCATATTGATTTCAAACCTGCAGTTGAAATTTTTCCAAAACATCTTCCAAAGAAAAACACCTTTTGAAATGATGCTTGTTCTTGATGCAACAATTCAAAAACTAACAAAATTAGCTTATCCAGGAAAAGAATCCAAATCAAAATTACTTTCAACTGATGATTTACTTCCTTTATTGATTTATACAATAACTTTATCTCAACCTACTCAACTTTATAGCCGAATGATTTATTGCAGTTCTTTCAATTTAACAAACATTTCTACTTCTAAATTCGGTTTTATTGATGCTTCTTTTCAAACTTCCGTTTTAACAATTCATGAAGGTAATGCTTGTAGTAAATATGAAATTGAACAAAGAGAAAGAAGAGAAGTCGAAAGAAAAGAACAAATTCGTTTAAAACAAGAAAAGAAAAAAGAAGAAGAAAAAAAAGAAAGATTATCCCAAATTAAAAGAACTAATCAATCTCCAAGAGTTATTGATCTTAATAAAAAACAAGGTGAAGTTAAAGTTGGTGGTTTTCTTTCAAATTTATTATCAAGAGATGATTTTTTGAAATGAAATTTTTTTTTTTTAATCAAAAAGAAAAAGAAAAAGAAAAAGAAAAAAAGAAAAAAAGATTTTTTTTGTTTTGTTTTTTTTATTTTGAAAATTGGATCGAAATCGAATTGAAAAAAAAAGAAAATCAGAAAATTAAAATTTCTGAAAAGAAAGGGAATTGAATTTGAATTGAAAAAAAAAAGAAATTGAATTGAAAAAAAAAAGAAATTGAATTGAAAAAAAAAAGAAGTTGAATTTTCCCTTTCTAAATTAGAAAAGAAAAGAAATCAAAAATCAAAATTATTTCTTTTCTTTTGGTTCTTGTTCTTGTTGAGGAGGAATGTTTTCATTCATTTCATCTTCAAATTGTTGCATTTCCATTCCCATTCCTCTTCTTCCTCTTCTTCCTTGACGTCTTCCAAAATCATTCTTAGCTTTCTTTCCTTTTTTAGTAAACTTCTTCCAAGGTTTTTCATCTTGATATTCATCTTCTTGTTCTTGTTCTTGAACGAAAGGATTTTGTTGAAATTGAGAAGGATATTGGTCAAATTGGTTGTAATTGAAAGGGGACATTTGATTCATATTCATATCAAACATTGGGTGATTCATACCAAACATTCCATGATGCATATCAAAACCATGATGCATTGGATGATGCATTCCAAAACCATGATTCATACCTCCAAACATTCCATGATGCATTGGATGATGCATTCCAAACATTCCATGATGTTTCCAGAACTTTCTCATTGGACAACCTTTATGCATTCCAAAACCATGATGTTTCATTCCATGATGTTTCCAAAACTTTTCATTCCAAATCCTTTATTCATTCCACAACCTTTATTCATTCCACAACCATGATGTTTCCAAAACTTTCTCATTCCACAACCTTTATGCATTCCAAAACCATGATGTTTCTGCATTCCAAAACCATGATGTTTCATTCCATGATGTTTCCAAAACTTTCCCATTCCTCTACGCATTCCACAATGAATTCCATGACCAAAACCATGATGCATTCCAAAAGGAGCACCAAAATCCATATCAAAACCATGATGCATTGGATGATGCATTCCAAAACCTTGATTCATTCCTCCAAACATTCCATGATGCATTGGATGATGCATTCCAAACATTCCATGATGTTTCCAAAACTTTTTCATTGGACAACCTTTATGCATTCCAAATCCATGATGTTTCATTCCATGATGTTTCCAAAACTTTTTCATTCCAAATCCTTTATTCATTCCACAACCATGATGTTTCCAAAACTTTCTCATTCCAAATCCTTTATGCATTCCAAATCCAAAAGTTCCATTTTCATTCACTTTTTCCTTCAATTCATCAGCTTTCTCAACTACATACTTAGCAACATCTTGAATTCTCTTAATCGATTCAGGATCAGTAAACTTCACATTACTAACAAGACTTTCAACGACTTTCATGAATTCTTCAGCTTTTTCTTTTCCATTTTCAACAAGTTCACGAAGAGCAAAAGAAATTTGGAAACGGGATTCTTTGAACCATTCAACAACAGAAGGATCTTGAGCAAGAGTTGCAAGTTCAATAAGTTTGGGTCGTAAATAACGGACAGCAAAAGGAAGAAAGAAAAATCTACGTCCAAAAAATCCATGAAAACGTTTGCCCTTGAAAGGATGTGAAAATTCACCCATTTGTTCTTGTTTTGCCATTTTTTTTGCTTTTCTAACTTTGATTACCAACCGCAAAATCTTCGTTTCAGTTGCTAATGTGGTTTGAATTGCGGTTCCAAGTTCGTTTGTGTTTGTAATTGTGATCTTGTCTTCATCTTCATCAAAATAATAAATCGAAATCAATTCAGGATTTGCTTGTTCAAGTTGATAAAGCTTTTTAATTGTGTTCAAAAGTTCTTCCATTTCTGCTTTGGAATTCAACAGAAATCTTCTTGTATCATTTTTGAATGTACTTTTAATTGTAATCGCAGTGTTTGATTGCATTTTGCGCTTTTTTTTAAAAAAAATAAAAGTAAAAAAAACCTTTTTTTGTAATAAAAAAAAAAAGTATTAAGAGATAAAAAGAAAAATGATTTTTATTTTATTTTTTTTTTTTGCTTTTAAATTCGATCATTTTATTAACACGTGTAAAGTACCCTTTTAATTTAAATA